GAGTTAGAAATAATATTCGCCCGAAAATATTAAAAATTACAGATTAATTATTAAATATGTTATAATTTGAAGCAATATCTTCTCGCATAATATTGATATCTTTCGAATGCGAGATGGGGTCGACGATAGTTGCGCGTACATCCCAGGTAAGGCGATGCAAAGTACAGAAAGATATATGCAGAATACAGAGGGGGCGATGGAAGAATGAAGAAAGATCCTGAGAGACTTTGCCTGATGAGGATGGTTCCCATGACGACGCAACCCCAGGAACACGAAATGGTCTAGCCATTCTTGACTCAATACCGAGTCGCCATACATTCACGTAGACAACGCGCTCAAGCTCACCACCACTTTCCCAGTCTTCAAACCCTCTTAGGGCTTCCCCCTCCTCTGCGTCGTTCTCTGCACCCCTTGCTCCTCCTCTGTCCTTACTCAAATGGAATATCCCGCGCTTATACTTTGTTCCAGCTGCAACTCTGCATTGTATTGCAAGTGGTGAATGTGACACGAAATACAAATCGGTAGTTCAGGCTAGCAGAAAAAAAGGAAAGAAAAAAAGGCAGGACGAGGCAACACTGCCAGACTTGGAATTGCTCTATTACGAGATGCACTACGGTGTCAAATATAACCATATATTACATCCGTTAAGAGCATGAAAAATTGCTAATAATTATGTCACATTATATTTATGCATAAAATGTAAGATAATTTCAGAGACTTGACCTGTTTTAAGATTTATGTCAGAGACATGTTGCATCTGTAATTATTATGATACAATTAATTAATTTGAGAAAAAATATTGCAAGATGGATTAAAAAATGTTCATTTAGATACACAACATCTTATCCATCTCGTGTCATACCAATATCTCAAGGTGATACGAGATGGGAGAAGAATGGCTTGCGCAACATGACTCGCGCGAATCGCGGGATTAATTGATTAATCATCAGAGGAAATATCCGTCACAAAAGCGAGGCGAGGATTCACTTGTCGCTTTCATCAGGCATAGTTATACTAGTTCCTCGTCCCGCTAGGCCACTGCCATATTGGAAGCGCTCCTCGAATCCGGACGACCAGGATTGGTCGTCCGACCATAGCATCTGCCTCTGAAAGGAGAGAGGGCGTCCCGATGCCGACAGCACTGAAGCGCCGAAAGGCGTCTCGACGCCCCGCTGAAACTGGCACGCGTCACGTCACGCGGTTATGAGAGAGACGCGGTATTTCACCCACCTATCCCTCCGCTCTCCGCGACTTCCACGAGCTACTTTGCATACCGAACGTATTTTCATCTTCCATTCGCGAACGCATGGCTGCTCGTACACTTTAATTAGATCTTTTCACACGTAAAATATTTGGCATTGTATAACAAGATGATAATAATACAATATTCTTATTCATTTCCATGTAAACAGCTGAAAAAGTTGATACAGAGGAGACAAGATGAGAGTTCTTATATTAATATCTTTTTTTTAATTTTCAAGTATTTATTTTGGCTATATATTATGATGTGTGCATATGTATTTATGACATTAGACATTTAATAGATATGTAGAATATTTAACGTTACCTGATATTTGAAAAGAGAGATAGAGATTATATGTCACAATCGGTAAACAAACATATAATTAAAGTTTATATAATAATTTATTTATTACATATATGCATATTGAATAATATAAATCTAAAATTATAATTTAAAGCAATATCTTTTCAAATAATCAAATATATAAATAACAATATAAATATGTAAATAATATTAAAAGTTTATTTCAATAATAAACTTTTAATGTTATTTACATATTTATATTGTTATTTATACATTTGATCCAACGCTGATAGACTCAGATTCTCGCTCCTAAAATGACAGCATCCTAAATACTATATTTCGCTAGCTGGTTGGAATTGAGATTGACTTCTTCATCGTAGAAGGGTTGAATTTTTTTTAATCAGTCACGGAAAGGGATTAAATCTTTTGCCATGTTACGCTTAGGATTGTTGCCTGTTGACGTAATAAGAGATAGGACGTAAACTGTCTAGGATTAATAGAATCTTATATAAAATATTTAAGAAATATAAAATGGTTGTCAGAAATTATATTATATTTATATCACGTAAAAATGACAAAAAAAATGAAATTTTTTTGACAAAACATTTTCTATTTCGAATAATATTTTCAATGATTACTTTCACAGACTTAAAATTATAAACATTTAACGTACAAACAACTAAATTAAATGTTTAATACTATAGAAGCAACGAAATCTCATTTCAATTTCAGACTGGAAATGGAAGGAGATAAAGAGGTGTTAGAGATAATGAAAATTATGAAAAGACGTCCACACAATGCATATTACTATGTCTGTCACGTAATCATAAAGTAGTGTAAAATATATATCAACTTTTTAAATTATTTTTTTCTCTATATAGACTCTTATTAAAAATAATTGTTTATCGTAAAATAGAGTTTGTCCTGATAAGAATAATGGCAGATGTTCGTAGAGAGTTTAATAAAAAGTTAATTTTACTTCTCTCCAGTAATACTTTATCTTTCATTTATCTCGTTAAATATTAATTTTTTAAAGTAAGCATATTGTTATACTTTTTGAAATATTATCAATCTCTATTTCATTTGCAATTTGTCACTCAGCTTTTACTATAAAATTCTTTGCTTCTAAATAAATGATCTTTTTTTGATAATGACATGATAAATATATCGATCAATCCATTACAGAGATACTCGTTATTATCAAAAACGTATATTAAAGTCGCTTTTGGCTGCGATAAATTTTTTCATATTGTATAAGTCAAAATAAAAAATCGCGTATTTTTTTATATCATTCTATAATTTTCATATGCTGTCTTTATTTCTCAAGTTAATACTATTAATGAAAGAAGTATAATCCATATTCATTATAATATCAAATAAAATATACACAAATGTATTTTATCAAATGAAATATACATTAAACATTAGGATTAGATATGCACAAGTAATTTACTTGAACTTACGCACAAAATGGTGCGTAATGGTTGAGAAACATACGATTTTTGATTTGATTACACAAGTGCGTACGTTTGAAAGGGGTCGGATAACATTGAGTGACAAATGGGCCGGTTCTCCCGAATATTCCGCATGAGTAGACCGTGCGTGTGAGTTCGCGAGTGTGTGCATCCTGGAATAACGTCACCCCCTTGGTAACGACAGGAATGGAGGGAACCAAGAGCTTTCTCGTGTCCGATTGTTTGCGCCCTCGACCAATCTCCTCCAGTTTGCACAGACCGAGTTTGCCAAACGCGTTCTCCGACTTTCCTCCATCCCCTTATTGTTCAACCTTAAAAGTAATATCCTCCGTAGCACGTCCTACCCACGTTTTGCCGACACTGTTTCTCCCCCGATCAGGAAAACGGAACTTTTTGCCCCTTTGTGACATTTAGAGAGAGGCTAAACAGTCTTTATTGTATAACAGATGTTTATCTATATAAATATATTTTAAAAACAATTTTCAAACGATTTTATCAAGATATATAAGTAATTAATAATGACGTTGTATCGTGCATATAATAAAATCTTGAGAATAAAAAAGAGATAAATTTAAAATAAAAATAATTATATTAACATAAAAAAGTAAAATAAATAATAAAATATGGATGACAAATTATATTTACAATTTTATTTGATAATCTGAAAAAAGTCTAATAATATGTATTTTCCGTTATTGGATTCCTTATGATGGTTTGTTTGTCTCACATTGTACTTGTTGTTCTTGGTCTATTTATATTGCGGTGAGAATAACGTATCTTCTCATTGTCTTACTATCTGCCGTTGTTAATAGACTAAAACTCGAATCTGTGTGGAGGTTTCAAATTTTAGGAGATTTGGTAAAATTTTTATTAATGATTTATTTTAATTGTAACGGTTCTTTACTTTTTGCGCAATTTTTTCTTTATTCATTCTTTCATGTTTTGTGTGTGTAATTTTATGTATGTAATTTTTATCAGAAACCAAGCTGTCACACAACACACGTTGACTTCCTATATTCAGAGATGCAATCACCATATTTTGAATTTTAACACTTCGTGACTAAAGAGATGCAAGTAAGCATCGAAACGTCTCACTTTTAGTCGCTCTCTTAATAAATGCGACTTGTCGACATTTTTCTACTTTTTTTTTTTTTTTTTAATTGACCTATCATCCGCAGTTTAGGCTCGTATTAGGCTGATTGTATCTATGGTTTTTTAATTTTTAAAAAAGTCTATTTACAAAAATTAATTATTTTTCAAATTTTCATTGAATTGTTTAACTTTTTCAGAGATCTGTTCTTTGCATCTTGTTTCAAGTTTCCCCAAGTTGAAATTTCGGTGTAAATTCACTCTCAGAGACTTTACTCCGCAGATTTCTCCAGAGAGCATTTCTACATTTCCTATTTTCAACACGGGCTCCGCTATTCACCCTCCGTAGTAAATCGAAATTCATAGATGCACCTTCGATTGAATTTATTTTCTATCTCGAAGACAATCGCAGTTAATTTAACTATTTCTCGACAGCATGCATTCCTTTGCACGAACAGTTTCAATCTCCTTGCAATAATTATTTCTCGTTATACTTGTTAAAATATAATATAAAAGCATTCTATAAATAAGATGTAAAAATCAGATTGATTAAATAACTGTTGAAAAAATTAAATAACATTTCTGAAATCAATTTATTATTTTTTTTCTAGTGTTCAATTTTATTCTGTTTCAATATATAAAGTGAATAATGAATGTTTTAAGAGTTTTGGTAAAGCTAAACTTTTCGAGTATAGGAAGAGTAAGGCTAAGTGAAGTTTCGTTATAGAGCGTGGCGTCGCATTAACGGTTGTACAAGGTAGAGAACTTTATACCTGCCGTGATGGAGGCTACTAAAAGCCGTATAAAACTCATGGCGACACGGCCCGTTATGAAAGGCAGTTATCAGTGAACGGACCATTTAATTTGCACTTCCGTCTTGCTTTTTGCAGGCTGACGTTTTTCCTCTCGAACCTGTAAATAAAAGGCCTCAAAGTGTACGGCGCCGTGGAGAAGACGTTTCACCCGTTCGAGCTGAGCAGCAGGTTAGCATTGTCCAAATCATCAATATTTGCAATATTAAATTAATCGTAAAAAAAGACGCAACAATGATGCAAATTATTATCGCAAACATGATGTAGCCCCGGATAAGAAATTCGGTAAAAAATTCTATTCGTATGAAAGGACTATATATCGGATGTAAGTCATATATAAAACTACAAAAGAATCTTAATTTGAGAAGTCTTAATTTGAGAATTAAAAGAATACGAGACTTCTTGATCATTCCTATTTTCCTGTTTTTTTAATAGATGTAACTTTTCTTAAGTATCCCTCCTGCTGTGTGTCATTGCTTATTTTTTATTGCTTTCTTATATATACCTCTATTTTCTTGCTTTGTCTTCTCTTTGTGTATTCAGACAAGTTCATTTTACGGTTAGACTCCAGTAGTTTAATGTATTTATTGACCTATACTTAATTTTTATAATTGTGACTTTTTAGTCTATAATCATCATAGAAAAGGAAAATCTTTTTAAATTCTCTATTTATTGTCGGATCACACCGTTACTTGGAAAGGAGCCTTGACTATTTTCCAACAGACTTTTTGTATTGATTGTTTTACACAGGTAATACAAAGACACAGCAAGCAAAGATATATGTCTTTCATACGTATTTCTTACATTATGCTTCCTCAAATTATTGAATATACGTTTTCTTTAATAATTTACGTGTAATAATATGATTTTCATCCGATACATAGTCCGTTCATATTTGAATAAAATTTTTACCATTATCTGGGGCTACATATTTACGACATCTGTTATAATTTGACTTTTATTTATTTACGACAATTTAGATTTTATCGATTTATTTATTTTTGTATTTTATTTATAGCATTGAAAAGGATCCATAAAGGGATCGAAATGTTTAGTGAGCAATTAATTATATGTAATACAGTCATGAAAATATTTTTAAATATTATGTGCACTGTTTACTGCGTTCAGGACCTAATAGTCCTTTTTTCTTTTACGATTAATTATTATTTAGAGCCTCTATTTTTAATTATTCAATGTTAAATGTTAATGTTAATGTTAATGTATTCATAATTTTATAGAAAGAGAGAGTATCTCTAAAATTAAATAAATCTTATATATATTCTGATTTTTCATTATATAAAAATAGTTTTAAATAGTAAATGAAATCTATTATCTTCTACATAATCACAATCTGTTTATATTTCTAGGCTTTCCCGCGTGTTCCCCGGAACACTGCCCGGTATACAAGGTGAGTTGCATAATTAACTGCAATCATTTTCTATTTAAATATATTGAGATCCCTTTATAAGATAAATTCTTAGAGTCATTTTTAGTTTATTAAATAATTTTATTAAATAATTTTAGTTTATATAATAATCTCTTTTTTCGTGTATGAAAATAATACTAAAACAACAGAAAAATACTTGAAGAATATTACTCGCATATACTTGGCAATCGATCAATATAACAGCAATTTTGAGAAAACCGAGTTTAAAGAAACATATATATTGGAAGACAAATGAGAAAGAGAGAGGGAGAGAATTTTCACATCGATAAGTTTATAGATTAATTCATATTAATGCGACGAATGATTGGCTTCAAAAACTGAAATGAAAATTTGACGGTAAACTTATCCATTTCCTACATGCTTGTAGTAAACAGAGGATTGTGTATACAACCGCGTCTCGTACTAAGCCCATAGCTACTAAACCGCGCATACTACCTATAAATGGACGGGCTGCTATAAAGTCCATTCATGATCGCGTCGCTTGTACAACAAACGTCGGGTGGCTCGCGCCTCCCGCGCGATTTATTACACTCGTATTCAAGCACGAGTTGTGTTTCCTACTTAGTACACGTGTACGACGACACAATCGCTCTCGAAATCGTCTCATTGTCTGGCTCGCCGATGACAGACCGATCGATCTCGTTTTCATTGCATCTCGTTAATCATATAATCGAATATATATGTGCATAGGTGTCATAAATTGCTCAACATTCACTAGATACATTTAAAAAAAAGAGAAAGAGAAAGAAGTTGTATAAATATGTGTATCTGGATATTATTTCTGGAAATTATAAGGATTTCTATAAGAGAATAGGCAAAGCTGAATCATCTTTATATGTCAAATAATCGATACACGTCTAATCAGATTATTTCTAGACGTATCTTAAACGTAACGTTAAAAAATAAGAAAATTGTTATTTTGTATCCTACAGTAAATCAATAGAAAAAATGTCTCTTTGAATTTTTATTTCCTTTATAATTTTAAATAACTTTCATTATTTCTTAACCTTGAAAAAATTTCACACTACACACATACACACACACATTTAAAATCTAATGCATGAAAGAAATAAGAATTGAAAGAGAAATCTTTTCTCTTTGAATCTCTATTTCTTTCATACATTAGATTGTAAATGGGTGTATGTGTGTGTGTGAAATTTTTTTGACACCAAAATAACTTTATTTAAAATATAACTCTGTCAGAGAATAGAACAATATTTGTATAGTAACAAAACGAAGAAAAAAAACAAACAGAAACCAGTCTTCGGAAAAGCCATAAAATTTTAGTACGAAAATTGGATATAATTTCTAACAAATTTTCAAATTCAATCTTGATTTTTTCCTATCATAAAAGATAAAAATAAATATATACAAGTTAATAATTTAAAATATATCAAAAATATTTTTTTTAATTCTGTTGAATTTAAGAAATAAAATATAAATCCAGCAGTATGTATAATAAAAATTATCACAGTAATATTAAAAAAATTTTTTTTATTCAATCTTTCTTGAATTTTTAATTTTTAGTTTAAAACAATAGTATATACATGTATTTCTTCATGCTTATTATAATGTACTTACGTATTTTTATTACGAATTTTTATTGATATAATAATTGTATAAATAATAAATAAGATTGTAATTTTTTTAATCTGTATAAAATTTAATTATTAAAATTTCTCTTAATTTTACATTAGAACGGAATTCTTTGAAAAATTAGGGATTTTTTGCATTTTTCATTACTAATATTGATTAATAATAATTGATGATCATTAAGACGTGATTCTCTCGTGAGTAACGCGACTCGATGGCACACGACACTGATGGACGGACAGATGGAAAGCGTGTGTGTTACCGGAGTTGTTGTCAGACCGTTTTACTTTACTGCCCATAAAAGTACCGAGATTTAGACTGCAATACTGTGCCATGACGTATTGCTCGCGCGCTGCGTGTACATGCACATATACACACTATTAAAGATGAGTCCGGCTCCTAGGAAGCGTGATCCATGGGAGCATTTTACCAGCCACGTGACATTTCGTAGGAACGAGAGAGAACTTTGAAACGTGCATTTCTAATCAGTTTGTATATCATCGCATGTGAATAAGTGTAAAAAAATTATTGAATCTAATAGAATAAATGATTAAAATAAAAGTAGACACGTCTTTTTTAGAGCCAACGAGATAAGAATCTTTCAATTAATGTATAATAAATATGAGGGAAAGAAGATTTAGTTGTTCAAAATTAATTAATCAATTGAAATATAGAGGTGTAATTTTTGATAAATATAATTGCGAATAAATGATAAAGATACTATCAAAAGAACCAGATGGACATTTTTATTTTTTATTTATATCGTCACTATTAATCAGAAGAATAATGCAAAAGATATTTAATTAAACTGGATTATATTACATGTTAAAGATAAATAGAATGTTTAAAAAATTTATCTTTTAAAAGGAATTTTTATTATTTTAAATAATATTTATTATTTTAAAAGGAAAAAAAAAATTCAATTCCCGACATCATAAGCTTCATTGAAATAAAAGACATCTTTCTCTGTCTCTTTCTCTCCATAGAATTATCTACGCATTTAGTTGAAAACAATCGTTATCTATCATTTACTCGCGATTCACGATCGTTTCATTTCTTCCCTCCTCGTCGATTGCGAATCGATCGCGCATTCGGCAATATTTGTGGAAAGCCGGAGAAAAGTCAGCCTCTCCCGCGAGATAAGTTGGGAAGCATGTTTGCGCTCGCTAGCTCGCGAGAAGCGGTCAGAGGAGAAGGAAGGAAAAGCAGATTAGAGCGCGCACGGAGCACGTGGGGAAGGGGAAGGGGCGCGGGGGAGGGAGGAAGCGGTGGAAAGCGGCGCGAAGCGGCCGCGCGAGGAGAGTGGGAGACAACGAGTTCGTCCGGACCTCGCGCACCAAACGATCCGAGAGATCGCGCTCGCGTCGCTTTTGGCCCGTTCGACTCCAAGCCGCGGGCAGAGCTCTCAGTTGACGCTCAGTTCGGCTCAGCGAGGCCAGCGAGAAGAAAGGGGGTTATTCCATATGTGTGAGCGTATCGTGCGTGTGTGTATCGACGCACGATCCTCCGGATCCGGAGGCGTTGCTACCTGCTGAAGATCCTCGGCCGTATTAAACTTGTTACGCGAGGGGTGGCTCTACCCGACTGACGACCGAGGACGACACGTACGCGGGAGAGATAAAAGGATCCCGGTCCGATCAGAGATACGCTCTCTCTCCTTAGACTCTCTCTCTCTCTCTCGGCTCCGGATGCTCGTTATCCGCATCGTTGCAGTTCGTGAGAGTTTCGTGATCGGATAGATAATCGTACAGACGTATGTCGATCGCGAGCAGGCGGGACGTTCGATGAGCCGCGCTCGCGGAAACCTCTCGCGATGAAGACGACGACGTTCGTAGGTGACAGAGACGGAACGACGTGTCGCTCGTGTACGATCGGTCGCGGGACGATCGTAACGCATACGATCGCGCAGTGAGTCGATAGATCGACGATTGCCAAGTGTGTCCGGTGCTGATTTTTCTTTCCCTCGAGTCTCTCGTGCGCGCCAGTTTCGATCAGTCGTCCTGATAAAGAGCGCGCTCCAAACTCTCGCGACCGATGCCTTCCTCGTAATAATCGCGCTGTGTCATTTTGTTTTTCTCTCCATGCTCGTCACTCGTCATCGTTGGACCGGACGACGTCATCCGCGCTAACCGCGCCGCATCGCACGTGGCTCGCTCGTCGACGCGGTCCTGGTGGATCGGGACGATCGTCGTTGCCGCGCGTGGATCCTTTGTCGGCGCTGCCTCTTGGCTTCTCCGTCCCGCGTTTACCCCTCCACCTGTCTGCTGCGGCGCTCCGAACCCTCTCCCCCGCCGTCATCCCCTCGTCGAGGACTACGCGATTTTCCCTATCCCCACCCGCCACCGTCCGCTCCTCGCGCTCCTCCGCTGCCTTCCTGCGTGTGCACGCGCTTTCTTTATTTACTCCGGGAATTCACGGACCAACACGCCGGCCACGATGAGCGCTCCGTTTCTCGCCGCGCGGTGAACCCGCCGTGCTCCTGGTGGGTGCTTGGAAACATCGAAACCATCGATCGACCGCGCGATGATCGCGCGATCGGCCTGAACCTGTGCACCGCGGAATCGCCGGGACCATCGTCATCTCTTCGCCGATCCACGCCGGTCCACGCCGATCTACATCGGCGTAAATATCGTTGTACCACCGCCAATAAACCGTCATCATCTGCACCATCGCCGATCACGTGGCTTGCTCGACGGCGACGCTGTACGATAATGTTCACGCCGCGCCGCTATGTGGCTCCGGCGTGGGCCACCCTGGCTCCGTCACCCCGATGGGAGCAGCAACCGGAGCGGGGAATTCCACCGGGGTGACCTGGTGGGCCATGATGAACGGTTCCCTCTACGAGGACAGCCCGCCGCCAGTTCCACCGACAGCCTCGAGCCTCGTATCGATTCAACACCAGACGAGCACGACGCCGGGCGCTCATCAGCAAGCGACCACGCCAACGTCACCCGGGGCACCGGCATCATCGGCAACGACAGCGCCCCCCGCGCCTACAGCGAGCGCCAGTTCAACCTCGCCGAGCGCTTCCTCGGTAGCGAGCAACAGCGCGGCCGGGCCGCTTCACATCCCCGCCAAGAGATTAACGGCGACCCCGGGGGGCGCCGGGTCCACCTACGGCGAGGTTGCCTGCGTAGAGTCCACGGGCGCTCCGGGAGGCGCGGGGGCGGCGGGTGTCATCCGGCACTCGCACTCGTCTTCGGCGGGCTCTCAGGCCGGCTGGAGCTACAGCCCGCACCATCCCCAGGACTCCCACTACTCGTCCACGACGGGCGGCGGCGAATCCCTGAACCATCATCAGGCCTACGGGGGGAACAATCCCCCCACGTATTACAATCTGGCGGCCGATCCCACCTCGAGTTCCGGTTCCTCCAGGGACAACCGGAAGGTCGGGGCCACCCTTAGCTTCTGGTCGCCGGCCACTGCCGGCTCGGCCGGCACCGCCGGCTCTACCTCGGATTACAAGTCGTACAACTCGGCCGGCGCGGCAACCACGACGTCGTCCACCGGCGGTGGTGGCTCCACCCCCGGCGCCGCCGACCCGGCCGTCTCCTCCTGCCATCAGAGCTTCTCCCAGAGCTGGTGCAATTACGCGCCTTACACGACGGCGAGGCATCACCATCCCGTGGACACGGCCGGACATCATCATCCTCACTCGCAGGCGGGGGTCCCCTATCTGGCGCCGTCCGCGGCGGACGACCGCGGGAGGGTCGCCGCCGCTATGGTCGCCGCGGAAGGTGCCTTTCCCCACGACGGATACGGCGGTCTGAGAAACTACGGAGCGCCCGAGCCCGTTACCTCGAGCCCCTACCCACCTCCAGGTAAGCATCTACTCTCTCGCGTCCTTTTCTCTTTCGCGCGACAAGGTCTCGGAGAGATTCCGATCTTCAGCCTTACGCGCCGTCCAGGTGAAACGTAACAACAACATTCATTTCGTCGCGGATGTATTTTCATTCGTATCGTTGAATAGAGATTTGCCGCTCGTGATTAATGCGAAACCTACGCTCTTCTACACAACGAGGAGGTCGTAAACCTCGACTACTTTTCCGCGTTCAAGTATCATAAATCGATATAATGTTCGTCGGCCGCCAGATCCTGAGAGATCGTTCGAAATTAATGAACCTGCGAATATGAAATTTATAATTAATTTGTCATCTCGGCTCGTGTAGCGACAGATTGAACGACGAGGACCGTTCGAAAAAAAAAAAAACCATGTGTCACAAAGAGACCGCCGATTAATTTATATTAACTTGGCGCGATGCTTAGTATTATTATGACCTTTCGAGTACTCGTCGACGATCCTGACGAGCTTATTCGGACCCGCAGTTATCGTTCATTCACATCGTTCCCTTTCGCGCTCCTCCTCTCTCCCTCTGTCCTTTTCTCGGGACCCTGCAACCCATGAAACGTCGCACGAGCAACAACGAACGACGGCGGCCGGGGTTTATTGGCGGCCGTAACTCGTAAACTCTGGCGCGCGCCTCCGATCAGCTGATCCGTTCCATGACCCGTGCAGGCGTTCGGTCTTTCCGGCTAACGGCTGTTCGCGCGCTTGTATTGTCGCTACCTTCTTCCCATTATTTCACTTTTGTACGGCAACTTTTTTTCCCTCGACGCAAACGAATGTTTCTCGAAGGAAAGTGACATTTAAAAAATGCCGCTACTCGATGTCACACTTATTGCATTCTTCATTAAAAAATATTCGTGTAAAAATATTGTGTCAGATTCTAAAAAAATATTATCAGGAAACTATAAATATGATACGTATAAACTGTACATATATATAACTAACTGTACAATTCGACACGTTTTTTTTTTACGAAGCATTAACATTACTATCTTATTATCTCTCGAAAAAATGCAAGGAATTTTCATAGCCTTAATTTATGTATTTCTTGCCGTACCACCCGGATTTAATAGAACGCACGTGTAATATAGCAGAGATTGTAAATTACATTCACACAGCGTAATTATATCACGACGGAGAATTGTAATACGACCTCCCTCCGCGCACGTGGAAATATTTGAATTTCATAGTAGGCGGTACAGACGGCTATTTTCCATCGATCGACGTTGGCTCGCCTCGTCCTTCTGAAAAACTCGCCTCGGTATCGCCGCTGCACGTCGTCGCGATTATCGTTACTTTGTTGCTCGTGCGATCGCCATTGACGGCGCTAACCGATAACCGAGATAACGCTCGCGTGATCAGCCGGAGCGGAGTCTAATCGTGCGCGCACGAGGATGCGAGTGTGTGCGCAAGCGTGTCGCCTGTACGTATACGTGGAATAGCGAAATGCGAGCGCGCGCTGCGTATAGTTTAAGCGTAACCCAATAGATGGCGACTCCATTATCTTTACCCGTTCGCTCGGCACCAGAGAGTGCGCCGCCTGCACCGTATCGCGCCGTATCGTGCCATCCCATATTAGTCCGGGTAATCTCTCGGGAGGCCGGATTACAATGTCTTCCAGGTGTCCCCGCGCACGCAACCTGCGATATCGTCCTCCCGCTTGAGATATTATCTCCGCACATGACGGAAACGCACCGGGCGTTTATCGCCCCGTATTTAATCCCGCGGATCGGTATCCAGGCTTAATTAGGCCCGCGAGGCCTACCGGTCATCGTTATGCGAGCTTATATCACGGGACGGAGTAAAGTATGGCTTTATCAAGTCGCCGGTCTTCCTCGAAAATCAAATATTTCATCCGTTTTATGGAAATAAGAAAGTTTGATTGGATATGCTTTGAGAAATGTTTTATTTTTATTTAAAAAAAAAAGAAATATTTTCTATCCCCTCGTCCTCTCTCTCTTTGCGCGAGATTTATCCGATGCTGAATGTTGGGGATAGTTTAGGAAGTTTTAATTTCGATGAATAAGTCGTATAATTAATTAAAATCATTTTTATATTATTGCTCGATATATTGTTTAATATGATAATGAAAAAAAATTTATTTTATTTTTCTTAATTTGTATGCATTTTATATCTCATATAAAGTAACATCGGGAAATGGGTAGATAAAACATGTTCGAATTATTCCCAATCGATATTTCACCCATTACTCGACAACCCCGGTTACGAACCCTTCGACTATTTCTATCAGAGGCTTGAATGTCATTCAAGAAAACTGCAAATTCCGATCGATCTCTCCCGACATCTCTTTCAATCTGCATATATTACATTATCTTTATTATTTTTTTTATTGCAAGAGATTATAAGATATTTGTTTGTTATGCGTAAACATTGAATTTTTAAAAATTATATGTATATTACACGTGCTCTCTCTATTTGCGTTACTGTCAACATTTTTTGAGAATCCTGATCTATGTTAAATAATTCATATATATTTCTACGTTAGTGTCGCAGTAAATTCTCGCCCCTCGAATAATCCTGTTTAGGCAACGAGGGAATGTATCAAACGGAAAAGAAAAGTAGAGAGAGAGGCTGCAGGACGAGACGGAGAAAAATTCAATAAGTGAATTGGAACAAAACTCGAGGAGCGAAATTTTTCAGACACCCGTGTACTTACTTGACGAGGAAATATTAATTAATTTGCATATTAAATAAGAAGCTTATGTGTCTTTATTTTACTTGAGCTAGAAAAAGGGAGTCCTTTCTGAAATTGGGAGAAAAATGACGATAATTTTAACGATAAACGTAGGAGATTTTGTGCCAACTAGAATATATGTGTAAAAATACCTGCGTGACATCTGAGATGTACTTAATGTTGCGCGGATGGCGCCCATCGCAAGCACATGTTCCGACGGATCAGACATAATACTACATCCGGTAGCGATGCGTTTGTTCTCGGACATCTTAGATAGGCTAAAAATAGACGATTCGATCCCTTTGGATAATTTGCGATACTTTTGCGCGAGTCAAAGTCCACCAGTATTGATTCTAGAAAAAAAATTAATCATTTACATATGTAATATTTTCCTGCGCGAATCAGTCTTTGAAAACATTGATAGAACGCATTACACGTACATGTATAACGCGTGAGGTGTCGGCTATAATTTTTTACGATTTGATAGAACGTGCAAGCGACAAGGCAGGACGATGTTCATCGGAGTGGAAAGGGGGGGGGGAGGGACATTTATTCGCGCCAAGATAAGAAAATACTCGACATTTTCGTGCGATGTATAAAATACAGCGATATATATCGATCAACGTTATTCGCCCGCCTCTTCTTTCCTGCGAGTGTACTTTGAAAAAAAAAAAAAAATATTGGGAAGATCGCGGGACACCCCGCTGGATAGAGCAATTTCGTTGCGCATTCGCGCGCACCAAGAAGGCGGTTTATCCAGTCCGCGGCTGGGTTAAAGATAGACCGCGGGATGAGTCCGCGGGCTTTCGTAATCGCTCCGTTCCACTGGCGCGCGGGTATGCACCTTGCACCATCTCCCGTTGTATATTCCGCTTTAACAAATGTATTCGCGTCGCTCCACATTCTCCGTCTGCAACGGGGCATAGAGTATGCCCTGTTAAAAACCACCAACGAGAACGGACCTAACAACGGTTCGCGCGCGCCGGCTTCATGTTTTCCGTGCGGTTAGTAGAACCGGTCCAATTATATCATACCACTGTATGCCGGGGAACGGCTGCGGCAACCCTCGTGTGCGTGTGCATATGCACGTGCATGCACGCACATATACGTGCACGTATATACGAGACTAACGTTGCGCGCACACACGCGTAGCCAAAGTGCACGCTTTGACACTCGGAGAGCTCGCCCAGGCACGGATTCAGTCGACAGGGTGCCCCGATGTGAGAAAAAAATTGAATCCAACAAAATGTCGCATTTTTCAAATTTCATTTTTTAATTCGGACAAATGATATTTTAATGTCGAATATTACATCGCGAACAGCACGTTTTTAATAATTTGAAAAAGAAAATTTTATCAAATATAAATGTAGAATTTTTTTAATTGAATATATTGATAGAGATATGACGAATTTTTCTCGAAAAATTCTATGCTTGTTTATTTTGATTATAAAAATATATGTAATATATTAATCATTGACTATAAACGAGAGAATTTTTATTTAATATCAACAGAAATTTTTATGTGAAGAGATAAATATGTTAGACTAACATTACCTCAATATAAAAAAAAATTAATAATGTATAAATTAATATTTTTTTACTGCAGTTTGCCGGATAAAAAAGTCGATGCATTAGTTGATCTTATCGATAAATTTTATTTATGGAAGATTATCTTCGATAATTGGCCATAATAATTAAAGAAGCTAATTGAAAGATGCTGCATTCCTCTATCATAATTAGCGGCGATCCAAAGATTTTTAATAATTATAATTATATGACGGATGCAATTAAATGGTGAATGTTCGTTTCATTTTAATCTCTCGAGGTTTATGAATTTTGTGAAATCAATGTCGCGAGTCCCTTTATCGTTTTAATAATATTTCCGATTCGATCTGTTCGCATATACGAGGTGACAATTTTCCGCGATAAATAGAAACGCAATTTGTCTTTTTATTAATTTGTACAATTCATACAACAGAATTGTTGATAAAAAATAATATTGATAAAAAATTGACATTGATAAAAAAGGAGTAACGGTATCAGAGTTACGCGTCGATACACTGATTAACGAACCGATATATGTATCCGCGCTCATTTCTGCTAGCAGTAATGACTGGCGATAATGAGAAAAAGGAATCGCTTTCCTCGTTAAAAATCCTTAGATGTGCCGGCGAGCAAATGAAAAACTAACGTAAAAACACTAATAAACTTATTAATATCCGTGTATTTTGGGTTCATGCATCGGGAACTTACCTTTCGAAATACTCGAATTATAATAAATTTCTATAATAAATTTCTGAAGACAGAAGCAGAGTGAGAGATTGGACGTAACACATTTGTCTTATCGAATGGATAAAATTTGTTTTCGAGCGGAGTATTAGCTGAATATTACTAGCTAGCAGCTAGGTTACTTTATCCTCGGCAAACTAATTGTGTTAAGTGATGTGGGGTTCCTCCCCATCTTCCTTGTTTCCCGCAGGTTCGCTTGCGGGGGTAGGCGTCGGGGTCGGCGTAGCCGGGATGGGCGTCGGATGCGGCAGCTCCAATCCCCTGGAGTGGACGGGCCAGGTGACGGTGCGGAAGAAACGCAAGCCCTACTCGAAATTCCAAACTCTCGAGCTGGAGAAGGAGTTCCTCTTCAACGCTTACGTATCGAAGCAGAAGCGGTGGGAGCTCGCGCGGAATCTGAACCTGACGGAGCGTCAAGTGAAGATCTGGTTTCAAAACCGCCGGATGAAGAACAAGAAGAACAGCCAGCGGCAGACCCAGCAGCAGAATAACAACAACAACAACAACAGCAGCAGCGCCAACAACGCGAACCACCACGCGGCGACCGGCAGTCACCACCATCCGAGCACCGCGCACGCACCACCCTCGAGTCACCACGTGGTCGCGCAGGCGCATCACGCGAACGGCTCCACGAAGCATCATCAGTGACCCGTGGCCTTCTCTGGGGTCGTCTTCGGGCACCATCATCACAGCCACACCTCGTCCAGCAGCGGTGGCAGCCACGGGGGCAGCCATAGCAGCCTGGTAGCAGGTCACAGCAGCCATAGCCTCCACGCGCCGCAGCCGCAGACGCCGTTGCCGCCGATTCACGTGTCGTCGTCGGGCAACGTGACGCCTGCCACGGCCGTAGTCCATCCACACACACACGCGCACGCACACACCGCCGGCCACCATCATCAGCTGGCGCACGTGGCCCAACAGTATCCCGCGCTCCTACATCAGACGCCTCACGGCTTGGCCGCCTGAATGCACCGGACGCTCCAGAGAAAGACGCCGAGGGAAAACGTCGCCGAGGCGATCCCTGCGAAACTGTCGATCGATATCCACGTCCACGGGAACGACAAAAAATCCTCATGGACTCTGTCGAGCAGCCGTTCAAAGACTGCCTCCACTAAGGAAAGATAAAGCTCGCGCGTAGTATATTATATATTATTAATTATTAATTATTATTAATTATATTATTATTATTATTATTAATATTATTATTATTATTATTCAACAAGCGAAGATCTTTCGCTATTGTATAGAAAAGGCGCCGCTATTTCAAGCGGCCCGAAGACTCTTTTCGAGTGTCGGTGTCGGATACTTTTACGAGTAATACGCGTCATCGGGCGACACCAAGCAATCTGTCCAATTCGTAATTCGGTAGTATTTTCTCCAGTTATATATACATATATACATAAAGTAAAGAGGTAATTAATGTCACTTAGTGTACCCCTACTTCTCCCACCGTGTCCCCCTCCCGACAAACTCTCCAAAGTCCCCTCTCTTCCCCCGCTCCGCATCGTGTATTTTACCTCGTCTTGCATTGTCCGGGTCGAATATCGGAACGCGTATCGTTGCAGTTACGTCCGGGATCGATTCAAACATCATTGATTTTGCAGTTAGGGCTGGATGGTCCATCGAGAATCGCAGATTATAAATGGATGGGTCGCTTTCAGGGGTAAGTGGACTCACTGATCTCGCGTAAGTGCATGTGCATTGTTTCTTTAACTTAAGTTTTCACTTCGATGTGGATTATCGCGTTAAATGCCTACAAATCTTCTTTTGTATCGAGTATTAAACTAATATTAAAGCAAAATTTCCATGATATGTGTCATTTGCGCTTTTGTGTTTATCTGATTTATTATGTCATTTTTTTAAATATAATAAACATTTTATTGGCAATTCAAATTTTTATTGACAGATTCAAATATCGTGGTACAAATAATTGCTCTTAATAAATAATAGTTTTTTTAGTATTCGATTCAAAACATTTTGTATAAATTCTACATTTTAATCTAAGCAAATTTGCAGTGTAGTTTACGTTTATCGGGATTCATGTATAATTTGTAATTTCTCGACCATGAAGAGGAAGGTTATAGTTTGAGGATGAAATGTCTTCTTCCTTCGCTATTTAATTTTATTTTGTCTACCGTGACGAAATGTGTAATAAGTTTCGAAATCAGTGTAGAACACGAGCGTATCCCAAAAGTTAGATAATTACGTCCACAATGTCGTAATAATCACCTAATTCGCAATAATTGCAAATTAGTATCTACAATTCTTATTCGAGAAAAACAACCTGCGTTAAAAATATACCTAGTAGTTGGACTCTCTAGTGAGTGATCGTGATTGTATCGTTCTAGGCTGAGTTTGGGATCTTCATAAAAACTATGATATTATGCAGGGTCAAGATCGCATGTACGCTCAGTATTTTTATGCCCGCGCGGGCAAAAGTCTTGCCGTGAAAAGAATTAAAGGTTGTGGTACTTAACGCTTTGAATAACTTTACAACTTGCTGACAATATCGTAATTGTATTATTTTTATTGGCAATAATATCTATCGATGAAACATGGGGCACTTTTGACTTGTGTTGCTAAACAATCGATCTGGAAAGTTTTCTCAATAAAATTACGCTTTCAAACAATGTTTTTAATTATGCTATCGGATATTCTAAATACTTGTCGATAAAAACTAGACGTTGCACTTACTCTAAATCAACATTTGCAGTTATTATATAATATTAATTATTATTAATTATTATTTTATATATATTATATATATTACGTTATTAATATTATATAAAAATCTGCAAAGTTAATCAATCTTTTTACTTATCGTAGTCTATATTTTATAAATTTGGAAAGTAACAAGGAACCTATATAAAAAAATGTTATAAATAAAAAATATATGCATGAAAATACGCATATAATGCATACATATATAATTCTTTAAATTGATTTAAATTTAATATATGTATGTGTTTACATATGTATTTGTAGCGTCTAGTAAATGTCACGAGTATTGATCTCTGGAAATCCAATGAATGTATCAGCCGACGGATGTCTTCCGGTCGTTTTTTCTTTCGTTTAAAATCCGTGCTCATATCTTTCACGACGAGAACCGAAAGAAATGAGAAGAAAATCGATCTCGTACGAACGAAGTCCTAAGCGCGGCCGGAATACAATTTTAAACAAAACATCAGCAAGTAAGTAGATAATTTAATCAGATGTTTAATGAAAAAAAAATTAATCCCTGTGGATCTCTATTCTCTAAGGTGCAACATTATCTAAATTACCAAGGGTTATTAAGTCTATGTGAATGGCTACAATATATTATATACGCGTATTTTGTGTATGTATATGTTATGTTATATGCGGATGAATGTGTATGTGTGTATGTGTATAAGATGTATTTGCACACGTGTACGTGTACGTGTGTTTCTCTGCAAGCAAGTGCATCTGTTTTGTATGAATGTGTGTTGTATGAATGTGTTATACGGCTGTGGGTATGAATGTTATAAAATGAAAAATGGGCACGCGTTTTGCACTCTGAGAAAATTGATAGAAAGAAAGAGAGAGAGAGAGCGAAATCGAGAAAAGAGAGAAAGAGGAAGAAAGATGAAAAGATCGAGGAGGAGCGAGGAAGAGAGAAAGAAAAACAGAGTAACCGTGAGTCGGAAATTCTCGGACGTTCGAGATAGCCGCGAACGATGAAAATAAATAAACGTATAGCTGAGCTCGAGAAGAAGCGCGTCAACAGAATGCGAAGATGAAACGAAGATGAGAGTGAGTTTGAACTCGTGAGAGAGACTGAGTTCCGGACAACTGTATAGTTCTGCCACGGTACTGTAACAGTTATAATTATGTAACGACGATAATATAATACAATATAAATGATAACAAAATAAATAATTTCTCAAGCGAAATGATTAAATGGGAAATTTCGACTGGACGGTAGCGGTCGTGTTGCGTTCACCCTACCGTCCGTGCTTTGCTGCAAGTTGATTGTAATTAGTTATTAAATATACCACTGATGATGTTTATTATGTCTTAAAATTCTTAAGATTATTATTATTATTATATTATTATTATTATTATTATTATTATTATTATTATTATCATTATTGTGAGCGTCACGTTAATATTATGTTATTGTTTTTATTGTGTGTTGTTTTGTATGTACCTTATCAGCCTATAATAATATCACTACAATAATCCATACACACACGCACATATACATACAAACACAATAGAGGGAAAAGAAAGTATATAGACATTATCATCTTTATCTGCTTTAAATATTAATATGATTTTCCGACTTATAAAAATTTACGGTGCCTGATGCAACAAAAATTTCTAATTTGTTAAGTTACAAACGGAAATTTTATGTTGGCAAAGAATTTATAAGATTGTACTAATTTTCAATTAGTAATCTGAAATTCAGAATATGAGCAAATTAAAACTAAAGTTATGTTATACGATTGTGTTGGAAAAAGGAAAGTGGGATGCTTGAAAGCACCTTTTATTTTAAAGAAATTTGTTTATATATATAGAGAGAGAAATGTTTTTTAAATATTTTGGTGACTCAATTGCTAAAATATTTTTCTGTTATTTTTATATAGCGACGATAAAGCTCTATATATGCAATAAATTATTTTTGGTGATTGAGAAAAATGTAAAGATTACAATTGTATTTCATTTATGTTGTTCAACTTTTTATGCAGTAAAAACTGTTTCATCATCGATTTGCTGCTTCATGTCATATTGTATATTATCATGCGCTGTATCTTGTAAATTATATGCGTGAATATTGTTTAATGTTCCGTTTAAAAATCTTCATCTTTTATCGTACATGACTTTAACATATAACGCAATATTACAAATAAATCATCATGTTTTTTTTTATAAAAATTGAGTTTATTCGACCCATTATGCACATAAAAATAATGAAGAAAAATATTTTTGCAATCTCTTTACAATGCATCTTAACAAACATGTATACTTATCGAATCATAATGTAAATTTTCTTTCATTTATAAACTAAAATTTTATATATGTTTAAAATTATAGTTTATTTTCAAATCTTAAAGTTATGAAAATTATAATATAATTTATTTAAAAAATATTTTCATATAAACACATTGCAAAATTTTTAAATTTAATCTTGTATATGATACACTGTCAGCATGGGAAATATTCACATTTTATTTAATTTGTTTATGAAACGTATTAACAAATATTATAATATTTTTCTAGATTTGTCTTTTTTTCTTTATAAAATGCAATTTTTGCGAGAATTATCAACTTTTTATTTTATAAATTTTTGTGGATAAATGCATTACAGTTACAGATAATAGTACAATTGTTTTGGTGTGTAGTACATTAAAAGATATATCGATATTATACAATATTATAAAAAATATCGATTACTTAATAATTTTTTAAATATCTATACGCATATATGGTATAACAAATAGAATTTTTCGAAGAATACATCGCACATATATTATTAACTGTCCAACCTGTCGAAACCATGTAATGCTATTTAATCCATAAAAATTTTTAATTTATGTAAACTTGAACATATATATATCATTTTTATTAAAGAGAACCTGACATATAATTAATACGTTAAAAATATTTAAATTATAGCTTTATTAGTATTTTTTATCATATGAACTCAAAAAAAATATAAAATGCAGTAAGTGCAAATTGTTTTTGTTACCTTTAAAAATGTTTTTTTTAATGTATACATTTTCAAATTTTTCCATTCCTACATTTATCCATTCTCATTTTAATTGTATTTGTACGATACTAAGTATATGTGTCCGTAGAAATTATATATGCTACTTGTAAATAAAACCACAAGATTATTCCTGTATCGAAGTGCAATAATAAAATATGTTATAATAGTGCCAAAGTATAATTGCAAAGAAAAAAATACAAAGTTCCTTCCGTACAAAATGAGAGAGTAGTTCATCAAAATTTCTTTATTTTTAAAAAAAATGTGTTTCGCATAAAGTAAATGTTCCTGTTATACAAGTCATTACACAGAAAATTTTAATAATTTATTAATTTAAATAACTTGATTGTATGACAAAAAAATTTCGTATCATAAAACTTGGAAACTGTTTGAATTTATATTTTGATTGCATTTTATACTTTCAATTTATCAATTCTGTGCATATTCGTACAGTATAAAAAAATAATTTAATAAAACAGGATGTATTTTAGATATTTGTGTTTGAAACAATTTTTGCATGTAATTAGAAAAGTAATCGTATGACAGAGGTATGCAAAATTTTCAAAGCAGCATTCAATTTACGAGTGTATACAAGTGCATGCTGTGGCTACAAAGTACAATACTTTGTCGTTTTGTCTTATAATGCAAAATTATAATAATATATGTCACTAATATATAATAATGCATTATTGAAAATGTTTTACTTAATTAGATAGAAAACTGGATAGTTAAATTAATTATTTACACAAGATTATACATTTAAATTATTACATTTAAATTATTACATAAATAGATATATATTTAAACTGTAACAGATAAAATATAGCATATATATAGTTTACATCTGTTGTTGCAATATCATAGGATGTCGTAAGATTTATCGAAGAAGACTTTAAGATGAAAATTCTGTCGGTGAGTACTAACATGTAAAAAAATTTCTTACAATTATAGTTTTTTTTTCTTTTTACAACAATGCATTCTTCTATATATTATAAAGAAAACTTAATGTCAAATTATATATAT